TAGATACAAACTCACAAAGACTAGAAAAAAAATCATAAGATATCAGAAAAGATAAGAAGTGTCAGTACAAAACAAGATGTGTGCAACACCATTCTAAGAGTAAAAAAAGAAAAAAAAAAGGAAATTGCACAAAACATATGATAGATGCTTTGATTCATCACCAAAATTGGAAGTCTTATAACAAATTGTGAACAAGAAAACTGCTGATCTATGAATCTTCTTCAGTACTCTCCTCAGAACACGGACCGCCCAGCGCCTAGGCGGTTCAGAAGGCATGGGTGCATTGCCCAGGCCTAGGCGGAATAACTAGGCGGTGGTCCCTGGGTAGCCGTTCAGGGCTTGCGCATCACCCATGGGCGAAAATGACTTTTTTTTTTATGGTTTTATTGAGTTCTTTTGAAAAATAAAAGTTTTTAAGGGTGGATTTTAGGTTCATTTGAAACCTAAAGCCTTAAGAACCCTTTTTATGGAGAGAGAAACCTCAAAAAAACTAGATTTTGTGAGTTTTATTGGATCGAAGTGTTTTTCAAAGTTACGAAAAATGGATTTGAACATCACCCAGGTAGATTAGATTTATTTTTGGAGTTTTTTAATCCTATTAGAGGGTGTTTTTGAATATTTTAGCACCAGAAAACATCTCAGAGGTGGAAGTTTGGAGTTCGAACAATCAAAGTAAGTACAAAAATTTATTTTTTAGATTGTTTGTTTTATTTTGAGATTTCTTCTTGAGGATCTAGTCGAAGTGGAGATTCGAGTTGGAAATATGGATATAACCTGAATCCAAATGACAAAAATTGCATAAGATGCAATTATTGTGAAAAAGATACAAAAGGGGGCATAAACTGGTTTAAGAAACATCTTGTCGGTATTAAAGGGGATATTGCCTCTTGTAAAAATGTTCTTGAAGCTATCAGAGAGGAGATTAAGCAATATATGAGTTCTGTAAAACAAAAACAAGAACAAAATTCCCTTCATTTGAATAGATTTATTTCTGATTCTGCTAGAAGAAGTGATATGGGTTAGAAGTATAGTCATAACCCGAAACCAAACAATAAAAATTGTGTAAGGTGTAATTTTTATGAAAAAGATACCATTGGGGGTATTAACCGATTCAAGAAACACCTACCGGTATTAAAGGGAATGTTGCTTATTGTAAAAAAAGTTCCTAAAGCTATTAGGGATGAGATTAGATAATTTCTAAATTTAGAAGAACCAGACAAGGATGAAAATGAGCCTTGTTCTATAGAAATATCTTCTCCAGGTTCTTTTAGAAGTGGTGATTCAAGTTGGAAGTATAGTTATAACCTGAATCCAAATGACAAAAATCGTATTAAATGTAATTATTGTGGAAAAGATACTAATGGGGGTATTTAACGGTTCAAAAAACACTTTACCGGCATTAAGGGGGATCTTGTCCCGTGTAAAAATGTTCCTGAGGCTACCAGGGAGGATATTATACAATATTTGAGTTCAAGGAAGCACAAAAAGATATGAAAGGGTAGAGCAGCCAGGACTCCTAGGGCCCCATCTGCACATAGCAAGAGGGAGGTAGAAGAAGAGGAGGAGGAAGAGGTAGATTCAGAAGAAACATAACAGGATGAACGTTATGTTGAAGAGGAAGATGCCTCTGATGATGATGGCTTCAAATTTGATGCATATGATGAGGCTTACCCTACTCCTTCTAATGATGGTGGTGATGATGATTGAAGAATTGAAGAGTTGAATACGCATGAGTGTTTGACTCTTAGTGTTGGTTGTTGAGTGTTGACTATTGTGTCTTAGACTGTATATTTTCTGAATTTTTGTATATTTTTTTCTCTTATTTTTAGTTACTACTGTCTAACTTTTGTGTGTATTAGACTATTAGTGTATGCTTGTATGGTTTTATTGTTTTAGCATTATATGAAAATATGGATTATGGTCTTATGGATTATCAAAATTCTCTTATCGAGTTCTCGACTTCTTCTCAATTCCTCATTCATGGAAATATTAAATATGGATTATGGATAGAATATCAAAATTCTAGTATTTGTGGTTAGAATATCAAAATTCTCCTCATTTGTATCAAAATTCTATCTTTTTTCTTTCAACTGGGCCGCCTAGGTTCTGGGTGCCCTCCTAGGCCTTGGGCGGCCTAGACCTCCACGGCCGCCTGGGTGCCTCGCACTTTTTGAAACACTAGATCCAAATCTCGATCGTCTAATATCATGGAGGCCATTTGCAAACAAGTAGGTGCATCCACCAATAACTCATCTCCAAGTGCATCCCAATACCATGGAGGCCCACTTTACGACTCTTTTTTTCTTGAAAATAGGGGAACATTAGAGTGCACATAAACCAAATCCTTAGCTCTTGCAGAAGTCATTCATTTGCGTTTAATAGAGTGAATATGAGAAAAAGTACTCCAATTCCTCTCACAACAAGATAATGAGCAAGGTTGAGCTGCTTGAGTGAGAAGTCGAAATGCTATGCTTGCAGCCTAGGGGTACTGCAACCATTTTCCGTCCCCCATGTCATAGGTTATTCGGTGTAATGGTCTGCCATAACCTCCCATTTTCGGAACTCGCCCAATCCAACTGAGAATATGCCATATTCACTTCTTGTTGCTTGTCATTCATGAGGCATGCTATAAAGGCTGTGAAAGCATTTATCCCTGTTTATAGAGATCTCCCGATCAACATGTGGAGGCACACGTGTAATACTAGGCCCTCCCTCACTAAGCCGCTCGGCACTGTAATATTGAGGATTGAGACTATGGGCCATGCAATGAAGTGGGGTGTTAATACCCCCCACTTCTGCATCGTAAAAAAAGAGATTTATCTTTGAGTACATTCTATTTTTCATGCTCAAATATAACTTGCACTTTTTCTATCTTGGAGTCCCACATTTCATAAACCTTATGCAACATTTATCTGTATCTGCTGGCCTCAACATCTCTATAATTCGTTTTGTGAATTTCAATAAATAATCAGCCTTTTCCGATCATGAATCACTAAAAATACACTCCTTGATTATCATGCCTTCTCATTGTCAAATGGATCCTTATAAGAAAGCCACTCCTCTGACGTTACCATCTGAACCAAAGCAGGTTTAAACTATATTTACTTGTCTCACCATGATAATTGAAGATGCAAATCTCGTCTCCTCGACACCAAGCATTTGAAGACGTGAATGCCAATTGAATATCGTTAGAGCCAATTCATGATTGACAACAAAGTTTCTGATGGCTCTCACATCCTTGTCTATTTTTACTATCCATTTGAACTCCTCATACCTATCTCTATTTTCTGGTGTATCAGCTGGTGAGCACAAGTTTTTCAAGGCCAAATTTAAAGTGTGGACAACACATGGTGTCCAAAATATATGGGGATGTGTAGCTTCTATGATTAGGCCTGCTGATTTGCGCATGCATTATCAATGATAATTTGTACCACATTTTCAAGTCCAACTTCTTGGACTTCATCAGCGAAAGCTTGGCCATATAGGGCACCGTTAATACTCTCCCCGGATGCATTAATAGCCTTAAAAAAAAAAGGACCAGATTGAGAAGCATCTAAAATATTTATCAGTGGCATCTTTGAACGTCAGTTCAACCATCAGATACAATATGTTTTATATTTTTCAATAGCCTTTCAACATTGGCCTTTTCTTGACTAAGTAGTGTTGTTCTTAGTTTATCATATTGAGGTGGACTATATCCTGTCAACGAATGAATATTGTCATTTTCATAGTTGATTACTTGTCTAAAATAAGGGGATTTGGCCAAGTTTAAAGACAATCTAGATGCATAAAACATGCGTGCAATCAGCCCATCTATCTCTCCTTTTGCTGCCAAATTAGAAGACATCGCAATTAGACGCTCTCCTTTTCTTTTTCTTGGATTTACTTCTTCACAGTCCATAGGTAAGGTATGCTGATTCTAGTCGATGATTTACTACTCATTTTTTTCCTGTCAGCATCATCTTGTAGGTTTTTCAATTGACCCAATAGAGTTTCATCTAGAGCTGAGCACACTTGAACTCCAAATCCTGCAATATGCAACAAATGGGCCTTCACTCTTGAATACGATCCCCTAAATTTTCATTGCAATACTTGCATTGAATCATCCAACTCCACCACCTCCTGAATACCTTTCTACTTTTGTACATGTACCCATAGAGTTGTGTTGGTATTTGATACTTAAAACTTTTGCTTTAGGAGTGTTAGACATTGTTCTTGTTCCTGGATTAGGGATAGTCAACAATTGTTAATATGGGAATGATTAGTGCTTTTCATAATCTATCATAATAAGGGGCAGCCTGTAAAAAACAAAGAGGGTAATGAGGGATGCATACTATTTTTTGGCATATTTTGTCATTGGACACAGAGTATGGAAAAGAAATATTACTTTCTTTATTACTGAATGCTCATTGGTCAGCCAAAATAGCAAGTTCTTTTCTTGATTCATAGAAAAAAGTCACAGCTAGCATTTAATAAGTTCTATTGTTTATTTAATGTGATTGAGACTTCAAAAGTTTCATATAGAGAAACACGACCAAAAGCTTAGAGAGAGAAACACAGACTCCTACATGGAGCTTTAGAGAACAACGTCAATGGCTTCGAGAAACATTAGAAGTGTGTTTCTCTATCTAAACCACCACCACTCAACAATTCTACTGCTTCCGTTGAAGCCCACTTGTCAGCATCCATCGCCTCTGCAACACCTTCAAAAGACCACCATTTCTTTTTGGGGTCTTTCAAAGCTCAATGATATGTTGGATCAGTAGAATCATCCAGCTCTTGAATGATGATGTGATCTGACGGCCATGAAAGCCCACATGCAGCTCCAATAGAGAGCTGGTAAACCTGCAATAAAAAATACCCATTACTTCTCTCTCTAAAAAGTAAAAATTCATCACTCTCTCTCCAAAACTGCATGCTTTCACGCACAATGCAGGTAAAACTCTGGTTTTTCGCCTAGAGAGAGAAACAGTAAGAGCATTTACCTCTTTGTATGTAATTTTTAAGTTTCTCTTTATATAAATTCGGCTTTTCAAAAACCGAAATTTCTTAAATTTCAGTTTTTCAAAAACCGAAATAATTAAGAATTTTGGTTTTTGAAAACCGAAAAATAGGCAGTTCCGTATTTTTTTTAAAAAAGTGTTATGATGTTGAAAAAACGTATATATCTGTAAAAAGGGAAACTAAAAGGTATTTTTGTAATAATGACAAATATAACAAATATATACGTATTTTCCCTATTTTCGTTCATATGGAATTGATGCTCACTCTCAAAAAAAAGACATCATACATGTCACTGCCAGACTTTTTATTTTGTAATTTGTTAAGGTATTAGGTTGTGCAATCTATGTTATTAGGGGTAATGGCCTGGGTTCCTTTACGCAGTCAATTGCATCTTTTGTCGCTTGATTTGTTGGAAGATGGGCATGTCTTGTGGTTCACCTTTGCATGCCTAAGTGCTCTCAACTAGGTAAGAGGCGGTGGTCTCTTAGATTAAATCTCCCCAATTAGAGATCTCATTTTGAAAGCTAAGCCAAAATAAGCCCAAATTTCAATTTTAATATTTTTTTCCTTCTTGTTCATTGTTTGCACATTAAATCAGAGCTAACTAATTGTGGATATGTCCAAGTAATCTGCACAAAGGAAAATATCAAATAAGAGTTTCTAATGTCATTCCCACATATTTGATGCATATTTTCTTTTCCCATAGGGATTCTTGCTTTATATATGTATAATATATATGAGAGAGAGAGAGAGAGAGAGAGAGAGAGAGAGAGAGAGAGAGAGAGAGAGAGTACACTACACTCACACTACGTACCTTACCTTACGTTAGTTAGGTAGGTAGGGAGGGAGGTAGTAGTAGTGACTATACTTACT